GCGGTTCTCAATATCAGAGCCCACTTGCCCACGCCTTGCCTACTCGCACTCTCTTGAAAATTCAGTGAAACACAAAACACAATCACAATCGATCATTAAGCATTTTCAGTTATTATCTGATTCGCATGACAACAAAAAACAGGTCGCAAAAAAAAAAAAACCAAGAAAAAATGTTAACTTCGGTTGCACCGAAGCTAAATACCCTTCACAGGTGCATTTATGTTAGTAACTATATGTTCAGTTTGTATGGAAGCTGGGTGTTACAAACTTTGTGACAAAATTAATATACCCTGTTCAGGGTATAAAAACTTTTAAAAATGCAATAAAAGTAATCAAAGTCGTGTGACCAATTATCGCACTTTAAGGTGATTTTCCATATCGGCGTGTGCTTAAAATAATTTTCAAGTGTGATTCACGCATTCAAATCAAATATTGAAATACGCAAAAGGCTTTAAGGTCAGCAAGTTCATTCGAAAGCGTTCACACCGGTGAGCAGCCGCTAGCCACTTGAATGCGCATTTCTACTCAAACAGCGCTAAAGATAAATTTCTATTTACATTTCCCTCTAATTTTCAGCATTTAGCATTATCGTGGCTTTTTCTAATCTTACAAATGGCAACAGTTTTGTGCCACTTAATTTTAGCACAACAAACAACATTTGTTTGCCACTTTTCGGTGCGCTCGCCAAGTGGCCTGTAGGAACAGCGAAGCGTTGAAAATTTTTATAATTATGACAAGCAATATTATAAGCGATCTACAGCGAGCTTTTATAATAAAGCGATGATCATTCAGTGAACAAAATACGTACCGTTACTTTTTCTTTCGTTTTTTTGCACTTAAACGTCGATAGTTCGGCTTTATAATATAATGGCTCAAGAGGGGTCTATGATGAATCATCTTCATCGTTTATAAATCAAGCAAACAATAAAGAGCTTTAGACTCCTTTTGAGCTATTGGCTTGACTATGGTGACTCTCCAACTTTTCGATATCATTTTTGTAGTACAATTTGTCCTTTGCTACAAAAAAAGTCCTCAGTTTCGGCGATCACTTTTTCAATCGACGAAAATTTCTTCCCAGCGAGCATCTTTTCAAAATCTGAGAACAGGAAATAGTCGCTGGGGCCAGGTTACGGAATACGGTGGTTGCAGAAGCCTTTCGGAGTTCAATTCGTGTACTTTTGCCATCGCATTCACTGGCTTGTGACAATTGGTGCATTGTCTTGGTGAAACAATGCTTTATTTTTCTTTAAAGACAGCCGTTTTTCGGTGAATTAGTTAATGAGGCGGTCCAATAACGCTATGAAATTTTTTGAAATTCTTCCATTCTCAAGTTGACAATAAAATGATTCCATGCGCATTTCAAAATATAGGCGCCATAACATTGTTGATTTTTTCACGCTTTAGAACGGGTTCATTGCGTGAATCCACTCGTTTAACTGTCGTTTTTACTTCGGTGCGAAATGACGAAGACAGGTTGCATCCATTGTTACATATCTATGCAAAACACCGGATTGGTTATTCTTTAGCGTCTCCAAACTTTGGTCCGCATCATTAACTCGGTCTTGTTTTTAGCCAAAAGTGAGCTCGCGCAGCACGCACTTTACACAGAGCTTCCTCATAACGAAATATTCATGATTGTAAATGTATATCCAATGTTCAGTTGATATCTTTGGAGTGCCTGCTGTTTCGAACAACTTCCCTTTACGGTCATCCAAAATTATATTGTGAACTTTTCTGATGTTTTCGTCGGTAAAAATCTCCTTTCGGCGGCCACTGCGTTACCGACTTCGGTGCTCATTTCGCCATGCCTAAACTTAGCATAACAATCTTTGATAGTTGATTTTTCTGGGGCACTGTCCGGAAACTCGTCATCAAGCCAAGTTTATACTTCAACTATATTTTTTCCATTCAGAAGACAATGCTTTATCAACTCGGGAAATTCCTTTTTATTATTTTTTTTCCCAAGAGCGAAAGTTGCTTCACTCAAAATCATATAACTCACAAACTAATGATTTGACTTGACAGCTGTCAAGCTATGGCGTGCCAAATGGACCCTGCATTTCTCTTTCACTGAATCACTTTTTCACCAAACCCGCTTTTTACAGAATATTTATTTTGAAAAAAATTTGAGAAATTGTGTAGAACACTATGCCCATTTCCCAGCAACAATTACTTTAGTGCTCTCAATTCCTACAGGGTCATTTCATAACCACAAGTGAATGGCCATTCATTTACATCGATATTTGTCTATACATACTTATACACCTTGTATGTATTTACACATTCATTGCCCTCGCTTGGCGCTATCATAGATTCTGTGATTCTGTGGTAAACAATTAGATAATGTTTACAAATTTGTTGCCAGCGAAAGAGACGCGCGCCATTCTGTCGGCTTGGCGCAGAATTTGTTGGGCGTTATGGTATTGACAAAGGCGCACGCCACAAATATGTAATTTGTTTACGTAGAAAATACTATTTTTTTTTTTTTGCTGTTACAGCTTTCCGCCGGAATTAATAAAAAATCATATAAATTATTTGCTTTGTTGGTGTAAGGTGATTTTTTAATAAAAATCAAGTTCGTTTTTCGACCAGCGATTTGGAGCATTTCTGGCACGTACTACATGGGGGCGATATATCTCTATGTAGTTGTGTATGCATGTTCAGTTGTAATTTTTGTGTGCAACATGCTGGAAACATTTTGTGTGTTCCAAATAACTAATTGAAATTTTTGAAATTCGAAATCATAAATACTTTCTCGCATACAAATTTAGACTCTTTAAATTTTTCGTTGATGTTGGAATGTGTGTCAGGAGAATTTACATAGAGTATAATTTTATTAACATTCCCCAAATGAACTCAAAATATGTAAATGCGTAAATTAAAAGTTTGTGCCAATTCTGAAATGTTAATAGTAAATTTTTTTGTTAAGTTCAGTATTCATTGGATTTTGGATTCTTATTTCATAGCGAATATATCTGAAAATTATTTATGTTTTTTTTTATTAATCCTTGATTACTCATACGACGTGTTGACTGACTGTCCACACCAGGAGTTTTGAAAAATAAATCGATATCGAATTAACCGAATACTAAAGATTTTGATCTTAATTCCATCAACGATTCAGAGTTCTCCGAAAACTTTTACATACACACATACATATGTAAGTATATCACTTTTTTTTCGATTATTAACAAAGGCAGATGTCGAATCAACCGTATAGTGGCTACGATAGTTTTCAGCGAATGACTTCAACGGACTCATGGCGAGTTTTCCAAAGAGAAATTTCCTGTTTCGAAACCAGAAAAGATCACTGGAAGCCAATTCTGACGAAAAGGGTGCCTGAGCGATGACTTTCATTTCCTGTTTGCTTAAACTCTTAGTCACAAGCATGCTAGATTATGACGACGCTTATCCATGAAGCTTCCGCACACAAATCCCATAATTTATGACGAATTGCATCACTGTTGACGCCTCAAAACTGCTTAACAGTATTCCTTATTGACCGTTTGACTCTACGGAACCAACACCTCGGTAATCAAAGGAAACATTTTAGCAATACTTTGATTTTTCATTGATTGACCATTAGTTAGATAAGAACGAATCATAATTGTAAATCTAAGTCTCGTCACCAAAAATGATTTGATTAATGAGTGACGCGTCCTCAGCTACGTTGTCAGGCAGCGCTTTTGCGACCTCTACTTGTCGTCGTTTTTGTTAAACATACAGGTCTTTTGGCATGAGTCTGGCATAGACACTTCATACCCAAAATATTAAACAAAATATGTTGATGATCCATAAGAGATGTTGAGATCCTTTTCTGTATCTCTGCTGCCCATACGACAATTTGCAAGCACTGTTTCTTTAACTTTCTCAACAGTTCTGTTTTCAAAGTTTAGAAAGACCAGTCCGTGTCAATTTTGATAAGAAGGCATATCATGTATAATCTATACATGCCCAGGTGTAGGCTTTCTGTCGACTGCAGTGATTTCCAATCGAATTTATTTGCCATAAAGGTAGCAGTAGATCTACTGCTCCGGAACGCAGCTTTCTCCAGAGTAATGACTATCCACACCAATAGTTAGGCATCAATACTAAGCTTGAGTTCGCTGACATTGGGCTCACGACAAGTGAAGGGAAGTCCAGATTCCTTACATATAACACCAAGCTATTATGTGATGACAATCGTTTGGGTACCTCTTATGGCAAGAAACTGTAAGACTACTGAACTTACTAAGGCAGGTACTCCATGACTGTGGAATGGGAATGGACAGAGCGTCGTTGGCTTCTTATGGATCAATAGTAAATTTCTGGATTGCAGCTAAGTAAGTTTCAGTCAACTACGAGCAGGTCTAGCGAACTTTTGACTCTCAACAAAGTTCACCTTTCAGTGGTTATAGGAGTTCTAACTGGTCATCGTCGGATTGAGATGTTACAGATACAGTTAGGTTCAGCGCTTTTTGCCCATAGCTGATGTCCAACTGCAGTGATTTTTTCATCTGGCTTCACAAAAGGCTGTACAAAACACTTTATGACCCCTTGCTTTTCTGAGAGATTAGTCATCTAACCTTACCGAACCTAAACAATTACAGATAATTAAGAGTTACTATTACATGTCATTGTTTATAATCAATATAAACTCTTTTCTAAGAACCATCCTCAAGTAGGTGTATATATGTAAAACCATTGCTGCTATTTTCTATAAACCGGAACACCCTAATGTTGGTATTTTGTCACAGTTGTATGGTTTTATAAATTATAATTACACATTCGAGGCGTAAATAATTTGGGCTCATGCCACTAAGTCAACGAATTTGTCGATAAAAAATTACATATGTATATATTTACTACTTTTATATACCGCTTAGTGTGACTGTGCAAGCGTGCTGGAGACCGCACGTTACGGTGCTTTTCACAAACCAATTATAATATTATTTGCTATAATTCATATTGCGCTAAAAAATAAAATCAAGTTAATAGCTTTGAGTTATTTCCCATTTCAGTGTTAACACACACACACACACCAATACAAACACATACAGCTGTAGGGAAAAACATATGTACGGACAAATGCTTTGGGCTTCATAGCTCAGTGCGCGGTAATGAGCTGAGTTAATTAGTAGCTGACATATAAAATTCATACCTGAACACACACAGCCATACACACATGAATTAACAGCTGAGAGAAGCAGAAGAAGCGACTAATATACGGAGTTTAATGAGAACCTGACAAAACGGGCCGATACGAGTCGATACAGTCGCGACATTATGGAAGTCTATGACGACAGGCCAGTGAGTGTCTACGACAATTTGAAAGCGACGCCGAACAACGTACACACAAGCACGCCGAAAGCCGTGAAGAGAGGCAACGACACAGTGCCGTCACCAGCCGCATCGCCATTGCCCACACGCAGAGCAACAGCAACAGCAGCAGCAGCAGCAGCAGCAACAACAACAACGGGCGGAACCACCGCAGCGAATAGAGCAACTAGCTCGCCCATTTACGCCGATATTGCATTCAAGTTTAATGACAACAACCAACAACTAAGAAATCTGCAGTCACAACAACAACAACACCTACAGCAACACAACCAACAACAGCAGCAGCAACAACAACAAACGCTTCCGCGCTTGACTCAGCAATACGTGCTGCAGTCGGCCGCGCAACCGGTGGCGTCAAACTTCACTGACCAAGCACCAACAACAACAGCCACAACACAACATTTTGCAACGAACACAACGCTGCCAACACAGAATAACAATAACAGCACTAACAACTACACTAACAGCAGTAATCAGCGTTTAATACAAGCGAACGCGTCGATTACATTGCCAGCCCAGGCCCCGGCTCCGGCTACGGCGCCCGCTTCCGCACTAACTGCCGCTCCAGCGCCAATCAAAGCTATAGCCACAGCAGCCATGTCAACAACGACAGCGGCGGCGTCTACGGTGGCAGCGCCTAGGAATGCAAGTCCGGCACAGCGGCCGCTTAGTCAACACTCGCAATCGGAACTATACGAAGCCAGTCAGAGTATAGCTGCGGTGAAAGCCGCATTAAATGATGCTAAATCGAAATTTTTCGGCTTAAACGGTTACGCTCAAGATCATCCACACAACAACACGTACACGGCTAATGAATCTCGACCGCTGCAGCAAAGAATCGCCGCCGCGCCACGCCCACTCATCGACAATCAATATCCAAAAGTACAAATCGTGACTACAGCCCCAACACCGCCGCCAAAGAGTCAACCCAAGTATCAGAATATACCGGAGAATAGCGCCATATTCCGCAATAACGTCGAGACGCCACCCGAATTGCCGCCAAAGCCATCAGGTGAGTTCATGTTTTGTCATCAAATTTTATGTTCAACTCTTTAACGCCGTTTAATTGTTACTAGTGGACGCTGCTGTGGTGCCGTCGAGAATGGTGGCCACAACTCCGCCCCCACAAACTGATGGCGCCGTGTCTACAACACCCAACTCAGCTGCGTTCTCAACTAGCTCAAGGCAATCGAACACGCCGTCACCATCACCATCAGCACCATCGGATGCAGCCAAGGTATCGTTGTCATCGTCACATGCAGCCTACAAGCAAATACCGCTAAATGATATCGACACTACGCAGCCATCACAAGTGAGTAAAAGAAACCGCATAGATCTACATACATACCATACTAGTGTAGTGTGTCTAATTATAGTTAGGAGCTCATATTTAAAATGTAGGTTCGAACCGGCAGTTTGATAAGCAGTATACTTTTTGATATCTTTACAATCTAGTTTTAAATACAACCCTGTTCATTTGAAGTTCAAGCAACAAATGTCACCAGTCATTGCTTCATGTGTGCTCAACTGGTAGTAGCAAAAGCAACAAGGTCTGGCGGAGATTTACATCTGGTACCACGAGAAGCAGTTAGCCCTCGGAGTTCGCTCCAATAAGCTCATTGGGTTTGGCCCTTTGGGGATGTTTATGGTGGCTGCGGCTTAATCCAAACTGTTTGCTCATTTAAACTAATCTAATCCAAACTCGTAGGTACGTTTTCCGAATTCAATTCAAGGCCTTCAAAATCAATTCAATCGAAAATTTAATTTAAAAACTACTTTAGAAAATAAAATAGTTTTGTTGTACTTTGTGGAGGATAGTTTATCTGAGAACATAAGAAGTCATTGCCTTCCGCATTAAAACTTAGTCAGTTTACAACTTCACAAATGTGAAAAAATATGAAGGCATCTGAGGAATCATCATTTTCTAAATTTTATGCCGTATCGAAAGGTTTTTCCCATTTTTTGCAGTTTTGTGGACCGTACACCAGGCTCGCTTACATCGAGCATAGATTATGTTTTTAAAAATATACAAATCATTCTTATATATTAGGAGCAATTTAATGTTCCTTATCAATCCGCTTAGTAAATTGCATATCTATTGTTATTATAGCCTTCTATTCGCCAGATGTAATCCACTTTATTATCATCGTGTAAAATTCTTGAATGGTACGTCCACAATTCCGGCCGTTGTCGACGGTTGTTCTCACATAAATCTTTCAGTACGGGCAAATAGAACTCCTTATTGATCGTCTGTCTCTCCGGAACAAATCATGATGTACCAAACCACGATTATCGAAGAAATAAGAGCATTGCCTTGATTATTGGTTTCGGGTAATTTTTTCCTCCATTCCGATGTTTGTTGACTTATTTGCATGTCAAACTCATAAGCTGATGTCGCATTGGCAATTATAATGCTCTCTATGAATGTGAGATCGGAATTCGCACGATCAAGCAATACCAAGCAAGAGCATGTTTCATATCCAAAATATATACCAAACCCACTCAAAATGCCTCGCAAGCTATCTCGAACTCTCTTGCCATCTCTCTAATATTTGCCTGACGATTTTTCAGTACCACATCCTTCTCTTTTGAAATGTCAGGAGGTCTAAGGTGTTACAGAACGTGGCATGTTTTCAACGATCCGTTGACCATATTTGAAGGCTTTTCCAACATTCACAATGATTCTAAACAATTGTTTATAAATACAAAATTTATGACGAATTCTTTATTCGATATTTTTATTTATTCTAAAAAAAAAAAACGCAATGTACTACTGAGGTGTACCGAGCAGCTGCTGTAAGCACACTGTTTGACAGATCGCTCTCATATGTGGCCATATGTGTGTGGACCAACTTACCCATTTACCTAGGAAATTTAATTACAATTTCCGTGTGCTTTTTTAGTCATAATATATAAATAAATCAAAGTAAATAATTGTACTCTATACTATATTGATAAATTGCTTTTATTAAGTGTATTAATAATTGTGGAAAATATATTAAATCAATCGCGAAATTATTCTATTTCATCGAGTCTTTTAACCGACGCTATGAAAATTCCCACATTATTTATATTTTAATTGAATAAAAACATTAAGTTTTATAAATGCTTGGGTATAATGTATGCTAACAAATACAATTTAAATAATTATTATTAACAAGTAAGGAAGGCTAAGTTCGGGTGTCACCGAACATTTTATACTCTCGCATACTCAAGCTACAGCTTGTACGGACGGATAGACAGACATCCGAATTTCAACTTTGCTCATCACTCTGATCACTTTGGTATATGTAACCATATATCTGACGATATTTCCCGTTATTAGAAACTTTATTGTGAGAGTATAAAAACGATGCCCTCTGAATTACATGAAAATATCTGAGAGATTTACCGATATTATCGGTGAAAAATTAGGTAAGGTAAGGTTAGGCACTGAGTTTTTCGTGTGCGATATCAGGGACCTTGAAAAGTTATAGTCCGATTACGACAATTTTTCCACAAGGGATACCTCAGCTCAAATACCGCATTTGTGTAAAGTTTTATTCCGCTATCATCATTGGTTCCTAATGTATATGTTATACAGAGAAGGCATCAGACGGAATTCAAAATAGCGTTATAATGGAAGAAGGCGTGGTTGTGAACCGATTTCACCCATATT